AAAGTCGACCAACTTAGAAAGAGAATGTTATTAGGTTGTTAACAAAGCCGAATTCATTTAGGTAATTTAGGTAAATGGTATCTACCATATTGTCCATTGATACATACTTTAATTTATTATTATTCAATTACTTCGCCACAAACGTTTACGAGTAAAAATTAACAAAAAAGAGTTTCCTAATTCTTTGGCGAAGAACACGCGACGAAATTCTTTACAAGATCTCCAGGATCAATTTGCAATTGCTTTGTGTGTTTTTTTTATGAGAACAGCGTGCCGAAATGATGGTTGCCCGTATAGAGACTCGTTATGAACGAAGCAGATCTCAGGCCCGACGAGATCGCCGTTCCCGGAGTCGTTCCCGATCACGAGCACGTAGTCCAGCTCATCGCGGGGGTAGTTACCGGGCGCGAGACAAATCTCGAGGCCGTTCTCGAAGTCGACGACGCTCGCCTAGAGGTCGTACACCCATTGATAACAGAAGTGAACACCCCCGTCATCGGTCAAAATCTTCTGGCCGTCACGGGAGATCAGACTCGCTTGGACGCCACATGGCTGAAAGGGGCCGTTCGCCAGGACCGTATCGCCGAAATGGTCGGGTTTCACGGTTTGACCAACCTGATGAACATCGGCCACGTTCGCGCAGCAGATCGGGACGTTCACCAACGAGAAGGCGAACTCCGCCAAGGATGTCGCCATTTAAAGAGGGCCGATCACCACTGGAGCCGAATCCCAGAGATGCGTTTCCCCCAGGAGCTTTATCCCGCTTTAAAGCGCCACTATCCCCGAAACGTGATTCTCTCAGTCCGACTCCCTTGATTGGAGAGCCAAATAAAGCTTCTAACAAACGCGCCGACCCCAAGTCACAATCGGCGCCTGGTGAGTTGAAAACATTTTTTTTTCTATCGATTAAAGAAGAAGAAGTGATAGCAAATAATGTAGTTGGTTGCTAATGAGCAGGTTATTAGGTTGCGGCAGTATTGGGACCAAGCGTGAATTCAAATTTGCGCGAGCTCAAACCTTTAGCTGGCATACTAGCTTACGTCAAGCATATTAAGAGCACAAAATGTCTGCACATTTGAAATGCGCTACTAGCTAGGCAGTGAAATTGCAGTTTCGTTAGTGCTACAACCCCACAGATGTCCGCTAAAAATGATGTAATATCTTATTGAATAAAGTAGAGGGTTTGATTAGAGTAGCGACAATTTCATCGTTTTGAAGATTGGTTGGGCCTAGGTTTATGCCTTAAGCCTAGCTTGGAATGTATTTAATAGTTAGTTTGTCGATGCGAAAACCTGGCTGAGACCAAAGCATGTAACGTTCCTTTATACGGTGCTGCCTTCTATTCTGACCTATTTATTATTATTATCGTGTAAATTCAACATATCAATATGAGGTGACAAGTATGTAATATGAATTCAATAAAAACATTATTCGATTTCTGTGGAAGTATGGTAATTTTTTGCTGTTACGTAAAGGTATATTTGCGTCTTGAGGTACGTATCATGTCTGTAAACGTGAGTTTGTGTGATTTTGCGGTTTTCGAGATGACGGGTCCTGAGTAGTGACCCTAAATGTCTTCTAACTGGGTTGATACGAAATAAACTTTCCAAGCTTCAATACTTTTCATGGAACAATCGGGTATTTTGGAGCGGTATTTCCGTTCTTACAGAAGCCTTCTCATAAATTCTTCAAGCTTCCCTCTTTCATTTTCGGCACACTTACTTACAGCGGAAATTCGTGTGTTTTTAATAGCTGAAGATCTTGTTGCTAATTGAATTGGTAAGTTTAATCCTACACTACATATAGTTTCAAGAGTTGACGCCAAGTACAATCCGAAAAAAAAAGGTCTTAGCCGGGATAGCGAATCCCAGCTGAGATCTCAACTATATTGATTATATATATAATAGTGGCAGTTACATTGTATTGATCGGTATCGGTGGCAATAGCATATTATTATAACGTGGGTGTCATTTATTTGCAGCTGAGGATCTCTACGAAGGGATCTCCAATGACTCTATGAGTGAAGAGACGTCGAGGAAGTTCCTTAGTGCAGCTTTCCGACCCATCGAACCCGCGCGTCACGGCAAAGACAATGCGCCTTTGCGGAGGCCACAGCTGGATAGTCCAGTGAACTCGATTTTCCCCGATGTGCCACCATTGGATCAGCGATTGGGAAGCGCTAATCGTTCACTAGCCGTTCGCGAAGGGTCTCCTTCACGCAACGTTATCGACCGTCTTGACGGTTCGGATCATGGTGGCCTCAGACACGACGGACCTGGTCATGTTCCTTTGTCAGGTCCGCTCGATGAACCGCGTTCAGCAGGTGAAGAACGGTATCTCGAACTTCTGAGGTTACGCGAAAAGCTTCGCCAAGCAGAAGAAAACAATGCTGTCAATGTGGCTTCGAAAAGAACACTTGCTGGCGGCGTGCATCGTGTAGGGGGTGACAAATTTCTAGCGGGAAGTGGCCGAGAGGACTTAACTCGAATCGAACGTCGGGACACGGGAAGAGGCTGGGAACCCTTAGAATCGGGGGACCCGATCGATCATAGCAGACGACTTTCTCCGGCATCTCCGTCGTTCGTTGATGATCGACTTTTGGAGCGGAGAAATCACTGGCGAGCTCTCGATGACAACACTTCGACAAACAGACAGCCGGGTCCACCATCGGTCCGTTCAAATGTGCGTATTCGAAAGGAGTTGTCGTTATTGTTAATTTCTGTAATCATGTTTAATCAATATTTCTGAAGAAACGACTAAGGGATTTTTTAAGTAAAAGAGGCTAAAGCAATTCGTGCTACATAGATATTTATCTAGTGATCCTATATTCACGTGTGATCGCATCGACTAATCGTTGATACTAAATGGCGTAGTATACATAGGTCACACATATTTTTCGTTTGCAGATCTCGGGTGTATATGGCCGTTTGACACCGCCTCTTGGAGATGGCGGTGCTTCGCGATTGCCTTTTCCATCATCGGCTGGTCTTCCTGGTCTTGATGGTGCTCACCGAGAAGCATCAGTTCGGATTCCCGGCCTCTCATCATTCGAAGACGACGACTTCTACGGCATTGGCCAGCAACAGCGAATGTCGCCTGTCAAGCGAGCGCCTGTGCCGGGAGCAATGCTTAACGATGGAAATTCGCAAGCGACAAGTAGTAGTTTACAAAGCATTCGTAGTGAAGGTTTGGCGCGCGGTCCTTCAGCTCGAGATCACGAAGAATGGCTGGTCCGAGAAAAAGAGATCGATGATTTGAAACGCCAGCTCCGCGAAAAAGAAGAAAATCGATATGCGCGGCATAAAACGCCTTCCGTCAAGGATATGCACCCAAGCCGGCCACTTTCGTCAAGGTATGCCGTGGTGAAGAAATAGCTAGAATTGAAACCACTGCAATGCGCGCTGTATATATATATATATATATATATATAAGATAATAAGATCGATCCGTATTTGAGGCGAATACTGCTTGAATGGCGAGCCTGCCTTTTTCACAACCATAAGCTTAACATTTTCGTAATTTTATACCTTAGCCTTACCACTGTAATCTTACTTCTGTTCCATCCTGTATACATTCGTATACGCTAATGTATACTATCTTTGTAAAATTTATTATCTATTGTAGTGTTCTATGGCGGCTAAATTTTGCCTGAGACTTGTAAGCTCAGCGTATGCAAAGTACTGCATATTGTGAGAGGTTATAACAATTTTTTTACATTAAACATCCCAGATCAAATCAGGGCTTTGATGAGACATCATTCCGGCCAATAGCTCATTCTGCAATCTCCAGGAGAGAAGTAGAACCGCATTCATCTGGCCGTCGGCCTATGAGTCCTATTATGAGACGGTCTCCTGGCGAAAGAAGGCCTCTCGTCGAGCGACGATCCCCTGTCGAAAGGCGGTCTCCTGGCGAGCGGAGATCGCCACGCCGGGGAACACGGTCGCCGAATTTACGCTCGAAACGCTCGCATAGTCCAGACTTTCGGCGGCGCTCCAGGAGCCCCTACTCAAGACGTTCACCAGTCGCTCGAAGATCTCCCATGGACGATAGAGCGTTAGATAGAGACGCGTACGTTAGAGCCATGGCTGATTATCATCCACCTCATCCTCAGGCACAGCGTGATATACCAGGGCATTCTGCAATCGGAACTGCTTCTTTACTGGCACAGGCTTACCAAGGCTCTTCGTACGTGCCTGTAGTGGAATCCACAATACCTGCTGCTGCTGCCCCCGCGCCACAAACCACTGGTTATGGAGGAGCACTCGCTGGAGCACTTTCCAGTGGAACACATCCAAGTGCGGCACTTGCCGTCACTGCTAATTATTATGGCCAACCCCAAGCGCCTCAACCACATTCGTATTACGCGCCATATGAAAGGGAGGCGTCGTATATTACTGATCCCCATAGTGGATATCCACCTGCTGTTGCGGGAACCCATGGGTCAATCGATGTTCCTCTGCGAAACTCCATTGCTGGCTCTACAAACACGATGGCTGCTTCAGCTCCTTTGGCTGATTCCGTAAAGGTAGGTTGAAGGTCCCTAATGGAGTCACTGTAAGATTACATATATATATATATATATAAGACAGGACTTATAATCCTACAGTTAGTTTACATGTTATAAACATCTTTTATATACACTATACATGATTTGCGAGATACTGTAAGCTCTATATTTATTCATGAATGCAGCGCCGCATGAAGAGTTTGAGTGATGTTTTATCTGTCTAAATTTTTTCCTGCTTTTCCGGCTTCCGTACACTTGTTACATATTCTTTGAAAGCTCCACCAGGCATCGGGAGAAAGACCAAATCTGCGTACATTAACAGGTGGTAGTCATGGTAAGAAGAGTAGGCGGAAAGTCAAAGAGATACTTCCAGAGGCATTATCTATAAATCCTCCGGCATTCGCTGAGGTGGACGTTGGACTGCAACCTATTGACATGGATCTAGAAGACCAAGATGAGGTCGCTGAAGCGCAGGGACCCAAAGAAGAACAAGCCCCCATTAATAGTCGCCCAGAGGAGAAATACGCCCAGGAAATTGAATCCTACCTTCGGCTCACAAATGAGAAGGACGCAGAAAAGTGAGTCCTTAAATGGGATTATATAGCCACTAAAGTTTGTAGAAAATGTGGGACAATATATTATATGAACCGCTTATTACTTAATGGAATTGTACGCATTCGTACTATTGCGGCGAAATGACTGCTATAGCTTTGCGAAAAAAAAAATGCTGTTAGTGTATATATTCGTAAATATACAAATTGTCGAAGGCGAATTTAATGGCCCTAAGGCTTCAGGCCTTAACGGATATATATATATATATCCGTTATCCGTATGGTATAAGTGTAAATTCGTTTTTATCTATGATGAAGTGATTTGAACTTTAGCCTTTATCATTTTTTTTTTTGTTTGACGTGTTGCACGATTTGTGCTCATTGTTTTGCGATATAGGGAGCGTTTATCCGTTTTGAAACAGGAGATGGCCCGAATTAGTAAGCTACAAGCAGATTTGCTACGGCTTCGCAAGGGGTCGCCCGATGACGCTCAAGTGGGTCGACAACTGGCTAACACGGGCAAGCTTTACGAGGAAGCTAAGAAAAAGGCTACCGGTGTAGGAAAGCAAATTGATGCGCTTGGCCAAGAAATCTTCAAGATTCCACAAAAGATTAAATTGCTTGCGATGGAACACGAGAGCAAGTTTGCTGACAAGCTCGAAGCGATCAAAAAGGCAAACAAAGAGAAGTCCCAGGTTCGTTGATGCGTATAGTGCATATTTTCGGTAGAAAAATTAGTGATATATTTAAGTCATGAATGAATCATAAATAAAATAGACTAGGGCTTAAAGATTGCCTGGGTGGTGAGTTATGCAAGTTTCAACAATCCAATTGAACAATCCAGGTCGCGCTCGTGATCTGGAGCGGTTTTTTCAAAACTTCTGTATCGAGTGACATCAGTTCAAGAAATGTGTTGTTAACCTGATTACAACTACACTTGTTGTTCTTGCTTCCCACAAAACTGACGAATAAACCTATTACTAAACCATTTGATATAACCATAAGTTTTTGGCCATAGCAAAATGACAAACATTGCACCGTAGTTATCCGGTGCATACGATCGTTATCTTGGATACTGAAGGTAGAGTCTATAACGTTAACAACAAACATTACCTGTGTGAATAAACCAACAGAGCGAGATGGGTCTGTGCGCACGCTATGTTTAGTATTTGAGCTATATTAAGACCGCACGCTAGTGGGCGCCTAACCTTCTGTTTTTTTATAGGCGGCTAGTGGTGGTGGCCAAAAGAAGGATGTCCGCTTTAAATATGTTGATCGCGGTGAGTTCTTCTGCTCCTACTGTCGGATGGAATATCGGAGTGTTCCCGCATTTCTTGCGCATCTCCATACCGAGCTACACATAGCGGTAAGGGGTTACCTAACAAAATAAAGCCTGATTAGTTGCCATTAACAATTCTATTCCATGCTTTCTGTGCCGCTTCCTTTCTTTCTCTTTTTTCGTTTTTATAAGACATTGTTTTAGGGCCTAAGGATAGATGCTTAGATACTGGCAGTTACGGTCACGAAATTTACATATACATATACAGAAAATATTTAATAATAACAATAATAGTAATAAATACCTTCTGTGTGTCTATGTGTAGGCTACGCATTGAGTAAAAATATCTTTGTATGGTGTAAAAATGAAGAGTTCGCACTCCAAAAATGGCCACACCTAATACCCACGTGCAGCTCCTGAATATGCTTTTTCAGTTTATTAGGACTGGTTCTTAGGACAAAGCTTATGCAGTCGAAGTTAATTAGTTTTTCGATAATAATTATTATGGTGGCCGTTATCGCTTCAACGATGTATACGTAACTACATGAACTTACATTTACCGTACTTACATGCACATAGATTTACTGATAAATATAAAGCCCATAACCGTGTTGAGTATATGCTAAGTAAGAATATTCGATATGTAAACAGAGGGGGACTTGCCTGCCAAAACGAGTATAACTAATTCATACCTGTACACCAAATTTCCGTTTTTAGAACTCAAACCAGACTCAGGAGAAGCCTTGGGCCAATTTAGAAACAACCACGAAAATTTCGGCGCCTACAGCAGCCACCTGCAATGTACCTGCTAAAGGTATGGACAATTTGATTCTATGATAAAAACATATATATTCTGATTTTTCCGTTTCAATATATCGTTCATGGATAATAACCAGTTTGGCACTTACTTGCTTAGCGATGCACCCAAACTTCAAATAATAGTAAGAAAAATCTTATGGTGTTATATTACAGGCGGACAATTCATTATGGGGATTACGGGTTTTTACTGCAAGATTTGCAGAGCCATCTTCCCCGATAGTACAACGGCTGAAAAGCACGTTCTCTCCGAAGAGCACAATATGAAGTACAAAGTAAATTATCAATCATCAGCATTATCATTTCAAGATGGTTTGAGCAATGTTGTTATTCAAATGCTTTTTGAGTTGTGTGCTACAATTTTTATACCTTACGCGATTGCAAGAAAGAGGTCTCTAGAGTGCACCTTAGTCATCCTGCTTTTTTCTGTTTATTTGGTAGTTTACTTGTACGTATTCAATAGCACTGATTATACGTGGAGCTCGAATTCATTTTCCTGTACGAATTTGGCTCACATTAGGCCTGTGAAATGTGAATAAACTGTAAATAAATAGACTTAAACATTCGGGTTTGCGTGGGCAAAATCATCGTATCAGTTTTTCTTGGTGCGTTTTAGGAATACATCGGAATGAATCCGTTTTACGAGCGTCGCGTACAGCTCGAGAAGGAAACTATCCTGCACAGTATCGCAAAAGCGACTGCTCCTCGGCAGGTCGGTAAATACTTTTTCAGGATATTATATTGCCGTCTTTCATTTCAATTGTTTCACTCTTCACTAAGCAAGAGCACAGTTAAATTGTATTTTTATGGGGGCTTAGCGAATTCTGGCGTACGGCATCCGGCCTAATGCTTGCTGAGCACAAGATGCAAGCCGCAGATTGCCTTCGTTTGGTCTGATTAGCCCATAAATGTATCTGTTAAGTTAACCAACGCTATGAGTTTGCTGCTGCAAAACGTATTGTGTTCTAACATCACATCAGTTATTTTCAGACAAAGCAGATCGGTTCTACTGGGAGCGCCGGCTGTTCCAGTAATAGCGGCAAGTCAAAATCTTCTAATAGTTCTAATTTTAATGAGGTCAGTGAAGGTTCTCGACTATCTAGCAAGCGTTCTCTAAACAACAATGTCTCACGGGATAACCGTGATGTTAAAGCTAGCAGCGGTCACAAAGCTTCAGGAGATAGAGACTCACCTTTAAAAGGGTCAAGATCTATTGGTAGAAGTAAAGCTGATCATTTCCCTATAAATAAAGCCGGCAGTAGTAATAGCTCGAGCGATCACGGGACCACCAGAGACAAAGACCGAACTGTTTCATTGCAACCCCGGCAAAAAAGGCCACGAACTTCCAGTAAGGACAGTGATCGTGACATGAGCTCTGATGCTCATGAAAACAGTGATCAACAGGGCATCGGCAACAACAACCCTATAACGGTAAGGCAAAAGACAAGCTTCAGGAGAAATATTTTTAGACGGCAGTTTAAATTAAAATTAGGTGTGGTCCTAGTTTAAAACTGGGGTGTCAACACACTCTGTTTCGTGCGAAAAGGTGGCTGTCATGAGCAATGACGAACGGCAGTATTACACGTAAGAACAGGGTTAATTCAAATTATCCATCCTGTTCAAATCCTTTTTTCCATGGTACTTTGTAACCTAGTCTCGTCACGATTTATATTGGCAACTTTTATTTGCCCCATGGGACAAGCTATCATTGAAATACTAGCGGATATTTGCGATATTGCGCTGAACATGTTTATCAGAAACGTGTGGTTTATAAATTATCTTTGCGGTCGTTTATATGTTACACAGCCAGCGACACTAGTGATCTTTCTAACCTCTGATGTATATAAATCTGATTTGTTCAGGAGAAGTCGCGCTCACCCTCTCCAACGATTACTTCCACTACTGAGAACAGGTGTGTTGCTAGGCATATTGGCAATGTCAGAATCATGTCCGACTTACGATACAAAATTAACTTATGTTAACTACGTAAATCAATAGAACCGCAAAATACGTACATAGGCTTAACGATGTAGATTCAGTAAAGACACACCTTGGATATTTGACATTAAGAAGAACGTTCAATTGCTGTTCAGCGGAGGTTAAAGGTGGCATTTTATCCGCAAACTACTACTGACATAAGGATGAATTAATCTTCTCTTTTTTTTTCACAGAGTTCATCTTCAACAAATGTACGTAGTTAAGTTACTGGTTTTTTTGGAAAACAATCTGTTTCTCATTGTAATTTAACGCCGAGAACTTTCAGCCATAGATTTTATTTTCTGTTATGGTGAACAACAAATGGTTTGCGCAATAAAAACTACTAAGGGCGGCTAATTTTGATTCGCGCACATTGGGTATCAACGGAAGATGCATCAATAACGAGAACGCCATGGTGGCCAACGTGGTGCCACTCATGTTTTCAATTTAATACTGTCGTTTGTTTTATAATAGTAGGGATTATGATAATAAAATTAGTCTGCTTAGCATTAAGGGAACTTTCCGTATATGCAAATACGCGCACACTGAAAATAAACACATATCAGTGTCCAGCGTAGGGAAAGTGTCAAGAAATGGTTCTCTATGAACTAAAAAATGAAAAAATGAATCTAATCTATAAATTATTATAAAGATCGGTACGTGAACCGTGACACGTATACCTGCATTTAAGAACTGTGTTAGCTCAAAAAAGATTTTATAAATTTCCTCTTGTTTTCCATTACCTATTGACCTCGCGTTTTTTTTAAGGTGATGCGAAATGTCCTCTATTCTTTTTTAAACGAAAAAAAATATGAGATCTAACGATTCAGCATATATGACTGTTGCGCTCTGTGGTTCTGTATCCAACATTTTCTGTTATTACCGTTGTTGGCACGTTGACCAATATTTAGCCAGAAATCGGGAGGTATTCGTTTGAAGCTCCTGAAGCCGACCATCGGAGGTGCTCAGCCCCTAATGATTGGCAAAGCTCCCTTTAAACGGAAGCCGTCAAATAACACTATAATAGGTAAGTGCCAGTGGGTTTTCATGATATTGTATACTTGGTTTTAAAGACATGTACACCTTGTTTTTGTTGTGTAGTGCCCGGTGTCTTTGATCAGGTCAAGATAGACAAGTATCTTTTATTGTTTAGGACGCCTTTCACTTGTTACATATACAAATGTAAGTTGCAGATGTAATTTTACCGCCCTTTAAATACTTGTTATTAGTGTAATATACAAATTTCACAATACAATTCCAGGGTAAATTGACAAGGAATTACGCGGTTTCTGCTCCATATAAAGTGACATTAAAAATAGATCAATTTTTCAACAATGGCTTTAAAATCCCTTTCTCCCATATATTTGTACTTTGTCTTTAAATGTTTAAAATTTTATAGTTACCAAGTCAGACATTTTCGTGTACAAATCTCTGGTTAATACTTCAATAAACACGAAGATTTCAAGTAACTTTCGAAAGCTGTATATACTTATATTTTGATCTACCACAAACCTTGTCTCTCATTTAAAAATTGTGTACCGTCTTCAGAACCAGCCAAAGCAGACGCTTCTGGAGGCAGCAGTGGGCCTTCGGCAGAACAAAATGAACTCTTCCCCTCTGGGACTCCGGCTCCTCCTGGAGATGACGAACCTGTGCCCGCTGTAGCAATGGGGCCGTTCAAGCCTCCCAATCCAGCGGACGAAGGAGAGCCACTCCCCCCCGGAGACACAGCACCCCCACCTGAAACGCCCTACTGGATGAACAATCTTTATACCTCGTGGGAACAACCGGGAGCGGCGCCGTTTGTATGTATTGCGCTCACACAACTACAATAATTCGATTTTCATCGGTTGACCGGAAGGATTACTGGCCGGCATAGACATATGGGAGGTGCAAGTAATGGGCATCGTTAAGGCGTTTGTGGAATTCGGAGTAGAAGTGTTCTGAGAAGAGCGAGATTGTAGGCGTTACATCTGACTGCTTGTCTTATTTTGTCATGTTTATGAATTATTCAAGTGTAAACACTGTTAACTCACGTGTTACTCTGTTATTCTTTTAGATACCTGAAGAAGATGAAAAGGAGCCGGAGGAAGAGGAACTTGAAGAATACTGATGTCGACAGACGAAAAACTTATCGTAAGAAATCCAATGATTAAAGATCAAAGCAACAAAACAAGAAAATAGTTCGAACGCATCAAGGGTAGCGCGTTTGTATGCGTATGTATGTTTTTATGCGTTTCTATGGACACGTAATGAGGAGACTGAACAGCTAAAGTCTTTGAAGTCAAAAGGTTACTTGTTCCTTGACGCGTCTACCAAATGGCACATCGGGATGAAGTGCTCTGGAGCGCGTAGGACGCTCACAAACCCAAATTTAATTATTCAGCGCGAAATATATACATTTTATTATAAAATCAACGTTGGTGAAAAGATAATTGAAGGCAACTAAACGAAAAAAGGATTTCACTGACCGAAGCATTTCAGAAGATCAGCTCGAGCAGAGAAGCGTTACTTGCCAAAAAAGAGGAGGTAAATTTTATTCAACATCGCATGGATACCTCCGCCGTTTCCTGCATCAAAAATCATCAAACAATCGTGAAAAAAAGTGACATGCTTCACATCACAAAAAAAATTCAAGCGAATTCAGAACCGCGTAAGGTTTGTTGAACAACAAATCTGAGCAAAAGTCAGTGGTACATTATATATA